GTGGGGGGGGGGGGCAACACTAGGGACCCCCAGCCCGAGCCCACAATGTGCCCAGCGCAGGGAGCGCAGCAGAAAGGGACAGAGGGGCCGAGCCCACAGCACCACTGAGGGGTGAACGGAGGCCACGGGGGCCGCCCTCGGCTGGATCCGGGCAAGCAAAGGACAATGAGCAGCCCACCTGCAGAGGCAGGGAAGGGAAAAGACCCCCAGCCTGCCACCTCGTCTGGCTCGCAACCTCCTCTCGCCGGGCACCACCCGCAACATGTGCCACCAGCGTCTGCTCGGCAGACGGGGGTGAGGCTGCCCCACTGCCAGAGCCACAAAGAGGCGCCCAGCCTGAGGACCAGAAACACCAAACACCAGTACCTGTCCTGGGCCCACTGCTCCAGCCCCTGGGGGACCCAGAACCCAGCAGGGCCGCCCCCCCCCACCCCCATCGCTGGGAGACAGCGAGTGGCCGTGGGCACACACTCAGGTCCCCCAGGCGCCCTGTGCCCGGGCTGCGCCATCAGCTTCCTCCACACCGCTCCCACTCAGCCGCCCGCAGCCAGTTCGCACCCCGACCCTCAACGGGGGGCGAGGGCAGGCGGCGGTGGAGTCAGACGGGGAGGGGGAGCAGCTGGACAAAGGCCGGGGCGGCCACCGGGGGCCCAGGAGGGCGGAAGCGGCAGCAAGGCCCACGGGAGGGCCGGGGGTGGGGGATGCTGATGGGCCGCAGTACCCGGGAAGGGCCCTGGACCGCCTCGGAGCTGCCGGAGGCCACGGGAACACTGCCTGCTCCCGAGCAGGCCTCCCGTCGAGCGGCTTCCTCGAGCCGCCGGCTCCTCGGGCCCTGCACCCCCAGGGCTGGCGCCAGGCTCGTTGCCAGCAGCCTGAGGGAGCCGTCTGTCCTTGTGGTGCCCAGATCCTGCTTTTGGGGCAGCAAAGGAAGCGGGGGGTGCCAGGGAACGCCCCAGCAACACGGCCCTGCCCCCAGGACAAAGCCCCTAGGCCCCAGAGGAGAGAACAGATGGACAGCAGGACGCCCCCGGGCCCTGGTCGGGAGAGAGCAGCGGACACAGCTCCAGGCTGGAGTCCAGCGGCCTGGACTCCAGGGCCGGTGCCAGGGCCAGGACAGGGCCGGCTCTGCCCCAGACGGGCTCCCGAGCAGGACATGACTCTGCCTGCAGCTTCCTTCCATCGGCCTGGGGCCGTCAGAGGCAGGGGAGCCCCGAGACCCCGGCTGACCTTGCTGGCAGCAGACAAAGGACGGTATCTTCTAGACTGGGGTAGCCCTCAAGCTGAAGGGGACCCCAAGGATGGAGAGCAGGTGTCTGTCTTCTCAAGTGTAAAATGGGCAGCTGTCC